CTAGGTTTTTCTTGTCTGGCTCTATGAAGCCTTCTGGCTGCCTCATATAGATTTCTTCCTCCAAATCACCATGAAGGAAAGCTGTCTTTACATCTAACTGCTCAAGATGTAAATTCTCTGCAGCTACAATTTTCAACACTAGTTTGATTGTAGACAATTTAACGACTGGAAAGAAAATTTTATTGTAGTCAATACCTTTTTTTTGCTGAAAGCCTTTGACAACCAATCTTGCTTTGTAGCGTTTGCTCCCATCGTGCTCTTCTTTGATCCTGTAAATCCACTTGTTATAGAGTGCTTTCTTGTCTGGTGGTAATTCAGCTAATTCCCACGTCTGATTTGACATAAGTGATTCCATCTCATCTTTCATGGAAGACTCCCACTTGACTGAATCCTCCACCTGCATTGCTTCATCATAGCACTCTGGTTCACCATTGTCAGTTAGCAACAAGTAGTGCAAAGAAGGCGAATAACGCTGGGTTGGTTTAGGAATTCTGGAGGATCGTCTTAGTTCTGGTGTTCCAGGTTCTTCTTGAACTGCTTCAGGACTGATCTGAACATCATTTCCAGAAATCTCCTCAAACTCAGCAAATTCCTTTGTTTCAGCTTCGGTATTGGAGCTACTTGATTCTATGGTTGATCTGTCTTTGTACATCACATTTTCATTGAAAATGACATCTCTACTTCTGATGATCTTTCGATTTTCATAGTCCCAAAACTGGTAACCGACTTCATCACCACCATAAACAACAAAGACACATTTGTTGGACTTAGCATCAAGTTTGCTTCTTTCAGTAGAATCTATGTGTACATAAGAAATACAACTAAACGCTCTTAAGTGTGAAAGGTTTATTTCTTTTCTGCTCCAAACTTCCTTTGGTATTCCACCATCCAAGGGAAGTGAGGGCCCATAGTTGATCAGGTAAGTTGCAGTGTTGATAGCTTCAGCCCATAGAAATTTGGGCAAGCCGACATGTATCCTCATAATTCTGGCACGTTCATTCAGAGTTCTATTCACGCGCTCTGCTACGCCATTCTGCTGTGGTGTCATGGGAACTGTTGTCTCTATCTTGATCCCATTGTTTTCATAGAAATATATGAATCTACTATTTCTATACTCTCCTCCATTGTCAAACCTCAACCGCTTGACTTTCAAACCAGTCTCATTTTCCACCATGGCCTTCCATTTTCTGAAGGTATCAAAGACTTCTGATTTCTTCTTCAGAAAATAATCTCACACCTTCCTTGTAGAATCATCGATGAAGGTGACATAATATAGTGAGCCCGTAAGAGATAGAACTGGAGATGGTCCCCATACATCAGTATGAACCAACTCGAACTTTTCAGCCTTGGGTGTCTTGCCAATCTTTGCAAAACTGACTTTCTTTTGTTTTCCAAAGATGCAATAATATTCTCTAAATTTGAGGTTACATAGAGAGTACCAATCTTCTTACCACGAGCAATGACGAGTGCTCCTTTGGTAATCTTCTATTCACAGCCTGAAAAGGTTGTACTATATACTTCTCCATCAAGCTATCCTACAAAAATCAAATTTCTTTTGAGGCCAGGAATATGTCTCACTCCTTTCAGCTTCCAGGTGGTATAGTTTGGCAACTTTAATTGGATGTCTCATTTTCTGACGATCTTCAAGGTTTCATCATCAGCTAGATGAACTTTCCCAAAATCACCACCGACATAGTTCTCCATGATTTCTCGGCATGGGGTGGAGTGAAAAGATGCCCCTGAATCCAAGATCCATGATTCAATTGGACTGTTGACGCTTAGAATCATGGCATCACCTGTCACGTTGGCAGACTCCTATGCACCGATATTTTTCTTCGGTGCTCGACAGTCTCTTTTAAAGTGACCCCTCTTGCCGCAATTATAACAGGTAAAATCTTTCTTTCTCGTTCTTTATTTTCCCCTTCTGGATTTGGATCTGCCACGATTTGAATTTCTTTCTGAAGTTCTCCCTCTGGACTCCGTGTGCAAGGCTGAGGAGGTTATTGCTTCACCCGATTCTTTTTGTCTAATTTCTTCGCTCAGTACCAGATCCCAAACATCGTCGAATTTCAATTTACTATTTCCCGACGAGCTGCTAACTGCTGTAATAGTAGCATTCCAACTGTCTGGTAGAGATGTGATAAGAGAATTAAAGATCGAACTTCATCATCGAATTCAATTTCCATGGAATTCAACTGGGTTGTAATTGTGTTGAGTTCATTTAGGTGTTGAACCACTGATGTCCCTTCTGCCATCCGAAAATTGAATAATCGCCTCATCAAATGAACTTTGTTTGAGGCTGATTGCTTCTCATACATACTGGAGAGAGCGGCCATAAGACCCGCCGTGGTGTTTTCCTTTGCTATGTTGAAAGCAACATTTCGGGACAACATTAGTAAGATAACTCCGAGGGCTTGTCTGTCGCGAAGATCCCAGTCTTCATTTTTCATGCCCTATGGTTGCTTTCCTGAGAGAGGTTGATATAAATTTTTCTAGTATAGAAAATCTTTAATCTGCATCTTCCAAAAGCCAAAATCCGCACCATTAAATTTTTCAATTTCCACATTCCCTTTGTCTGCAGCAATCGCTCCCACTCGAATCTGACTTCTTTGGATCGTTTCTGACAATTCTTGCAAACCACCGTGTATTAAAACACCTCCGTCGACAAACTCGTATCGCCGACCGAATTTCATTATTATAGTAACATCGCAAAAAAATTGACAAAATTCACAACCAAAAGCTCTGATACCAGTTGTTAGGAAATAAACTGAGTACGAGTAATTTCTCTATAACCAGATTGGTAAGATGTGAAATAAAAGCGGAAAAATAATACTCGAAATTGATAACGGAGTTCAGGCAATTATGCCTACGTCTCTGGACTGCTGCAGATCTTTTACTAAGAGAGAAAATTTACAGGTGGTTACAAAAAACTAACTACTCACAAGAAAGATCTCTAGTATTGGGAGAAAGAAACGATTTGGGATGATTTTGAAGCTAAATGGGTAAGAGTATTTATAGTTAAAACTTAGAGACTAATCTTGTAAATTTCCTAAAGTACAATGACTAAAATACACTTATGCCATTAACAATTTCAACCAAAATTTATTGCACCGAATTCCACCGAATTCGGTGCCCCCTTTAGCAACCATTTTAGACTTTTCTAACAATGTGCCTGTAGAGCATATTAGTACACACTTCATGATTACGTACTTACTAAGTAACTATCATCATAGATCTTTTATGAGCACACAGTTTTTATGTGTGCAATATTATTTAAAAACATTTTATTTTAGTGTGAGTATATAATTTGAAAAACTATTCTATAATAAACACGCTTTTCGTTATTTTAGTTTAAGGATGTTTTAAAATTACTTTATGTAGAAACAAAGTTTCATTGGTTTATTGGTACTTTGGTGGGTAAAGTTTGATCCCAATAATGTATAAAGAGGATCATTTGAAAAATAAACATGTTTTTCTCACATTATATGTAAATTTCATGCTACACTCCACGATTGATCCACGTTATTTGACTATATTTGTATATGTGACAATTGAGGGATCTATATGATTGTTATGGTAAAGATTGCTTTGATCCTATATGGATACAATTTATGGAGGAGATTGTTATAGAGTATCTACTATATAATAGCAAATTTTGATCTCATAAAATTATATATTTATCAGTAAACATATGTTGTCAAGTGAGAGATTGTTGGATTAAAATCCACAATTATGGGTACATATGTATAATGTATAATATTATTATAAAGTATGATACAAAATTAAATGATCAGTTATTTCACATGTAGCAATTGTCATAAGTATTAAAGTGTCGTTGAAAATCAAGTGTAGATAACATACATTATATTTATAATTCGATAAGGGATAGAATTATAAAGACTTAAAAATTTATTTAATAATCAGTTATATAAAGAGATAGTTATTTCCAAGAAATATGTTAACTTATATTTCTCTCTATCTCGTCATATAATTTTACGATAAAGAGAAAATATATCTTATTGGAAGATCAAAATCGAAAAGACTCAATAATTTTAACATATTCCTTCATATTGAATGCTCACACTGCTGACATTTATGGTGTTTAACCATAATCTCAATGAATAACAACAATTTCTTTATCACCGAAGTGGTTTAGTTTGTGCATATCATATTTTATTTTGAATATTCTAATAAAAGGGTCTAATCTCATTTTGCATTCTGGACACACAAGAACATAAAACTCACAACTTATCATGTTATCATCTCATTCATCACAAATTCTTCACATTTACTTTTATTTGTTATTTTCAATTGCTGACTTTTAATTTAAACTTTGGAGCGTGAAACTTTAATTTATAAAACTTCTTTATTTTTATAATTAAACTTATATATAATTTTATATGATTTCTAATAATTTTAGATAGAAACAATAATAATATGAATATTTGTTTTTTAAAAAACAAGAGATAATGTATTTCATATATATATATATTTAAAATGAAACTAACATAAAAATTTCAACAACATCAACTAATAAGCAGTTATTCAATTATCATATTCGCAATTTTTGTTTTTGTTAAAAATTTTATATTACGTAAAAGAATTACTCTGATTTTCAAAGAAAATTAAACGTAAAAAATATTTTTCAATGAAATGAAAAATTCAATAATTTATCAAATGAGCCCTTATTTTATTATTTTAAAATTCAACAATTTATCAAATGGGTTGAAATCTAAGTATATAATTATACATTTTACTTAGCTATCTTCCTCTTCTAGTGAGTCTATATTTAGCATCCAACAAATCCGGTGATATCAGACCTGTTCAGCTCAAATTGCAACCCATTTCAGTTTCAAACTTTCAACAATAATCTCTCTCTTTCTCCCCTCTCATCAAATTTCTTCGTTCTCCTGATTCATTTTCATCAAATTCCTTTTTATCAGACAATTCGATTCGAAACACAGTCTGTGAAGCCCAACCACCGTGTCAGTGACATGCAACCATGACCCTCAAAGGTGGCGCCACCAGTGCCTGCGCCGCATGCAAATACCAACGCCGTAAGTGCATCCCCGAATGTCTCCTCGGTCCTTATTTCCCCGCCGATCAAACCAAAGTCTTCCAAAACGCCCACAAATTGTTTGGGGTCAGCAACATCGTGAAGATACTGAGGAGCTTAGATCCTTCCCAGCATGCGGAGGCCATGCGTTCGATCAAATACCAAGCTAATGTTCGTGATCGATTCCCGGTCTACGGTTGCCTGGGCGTCATCCGTCAACTCTATTATCAAATCCAGTTGCTGGAAGAAGAGTTACACGCCGTGCTTACACAGCTCGAGATGTATAGACAACAACAGCAGCAGCATCAAATTTCATCGATGGCGGAAGATGTGATTTCCCAGTTGGAACTGGGAATGGCACCGCCCACCACCAATGCTCTTCCTCTCTTCAATCAAGTTACCATGCAAAACCCTTACATGGATTCTCCTAAAGAGAATGTGGATAATAATTCTTTGTGGATCCAACATCTTTTTCTTGACACGAATAATCACAGCAATGACAATAATGATGGTCCCATTGCGATTCAATCGGAACTATTAGGTGATGATGAGCAGGAAGTGGTTTACGATGAGATTCAGCCCTTCTTTGATTCCATGGACGACAGACAATCTTATATCGATTCCAACAGGTAAATCTCTCTAAACTCAAACACGTAAATAAAGAAAGAAATAAAGAACATAGTTTATGATTGGAGGATTAAAAATGCAGTTCTGAAGAATCACTCAAAGAATCAATGGTGGAGAATGTTGCAGATAATGAATTGAAGAGTGCCGCTGCTTGCTTCACTCTCACCAGTGTCAACTGATCACCAAAATCTAGTATTGCAACTTCTTCTTCATTGCTCAATTGAATCTTATAGACCGCATATCCCCCAATTTTGAGTTTTTCCCCCCTTCAATGGAAAGTTTCAATACATATATTATATACATATTTTGATAATTTATTTTATATTCGGTACAATAAAAGTTAATTCTTTCTCATTGATGAATCTGTTTTCTCTGGCCAGTAATAAATGTTTTTCCTGTGATAATTAGATGCTATATTCATTTCACATTTTTTATGTATAGATACTTGGATACGATATTCTAGAACCCATCTAGCCACCTCACTGGTCAAAGGGAGTTGTTCTCCCTAAAAGTTTTGCATTCGAATAGTTGTGTGTGCATCTTCAATGGTTGCGAAAAATTATAAACAAATTTTATCTTGTAATCATCTCAGACTACTCAAATAAAAAAGATATGATATTCGAAGGTTTTTTTGGAGTACATATACATTTTGAAAAAATTGAATATATATGTACAAGATATTACATTGTAATCACTCAGAATACTTATATTGATATATGAATTCGAGTAAAACATGATAACAATCAAACTCCATTAATTTGTAGAGCAATACATAACAAGAAGTTTCATAAGTAGAATCTTTGAAATGCAGTTGGTGGGGAAACAAACAATCACTTGAATCATGTTATTATTTGATTTGCTAATATTCTTATACTTACAATCTAGCAAGTCATAGAAACAACTTTGGTGCTGCAGGAGTAGGATGATAATGAATGGATTTCCTAATTTTGTAGATTAGGATATTAAATTTCGATCTGCAACAGGTTCTGGTATATTTGGATATGCTTATGTTTTATTATGCATAGCATTGCATATCCAAACCCACTTTATTCTTTATATCAGTAGGAAATGAGTAGATTTTATGAAAAAAAAATAGAATATCCTCAAATCTAAAAATTTTAAACTCCACCATTAAATTTAGTTAATCTTACGATCGAAAACACTTATAAAACTAAGGGCACAACAAAACTACACTAATAACTCAGAAACTATCAAATTAAGGTGATACAATGGTGACCACCCTTTTTGTGGACAATCTTGTCTTCCTAGCACTAGAAGGAACTATGGACAACCTTTGGACATGAAGACGAAATCATAGACGCATTTATTTCGAACAGGTGAGTAGCGGAGGGAAGAAGTTTGGTTGGTTTAGATTCAGTAGCTTCAAACAGATTAAATGGGTTCCTTCTGTTCGGGAGTTGCATCTCAGTCTCATTTGTCAAGTATTGGAGAAAGGTCCTTCCTATTGAGAATCTTATAACGTGGAAGAGATAAATGATAGAAGATGACAGAGACTTTTTTATTATTCAAGATGTTACTTTACAGAGAAACCCTAAGCACTGTTAAATACATTGCACAATGACCAATGCAGTTAGGCTTAACCATTTAACAGACTGCCTAACAACCAAACTTCCTAAAGCTATCAGTAAGGGACACGTGTACCCTCAGCTATCATCAGTAAGTATTCCAAATAAGAGGAGAGGAGAGGAGAGGCAACAGAATAGTGGCAAAACGTAGTCGAGTAATAAGGGCTTGGTAATATCAAAGGATAAAGGTACATGTTGAAGATAAGACCTGATGGAAGCTACAAAATTGCATGGTGGGATCGATTGCAACAACTTGTGAAACAAGTAACGTCCAAGAAAGGTAGTCGTGTATGGGGTCTTGGTGAAGTCGAAGTAAAGAAGATATGTGGAAGTCTATTCTTAGTTGAAATCAAGGATGAAGAGCTCTATAAATTATTTCTGGACGTATGATCTATTTACAATTATTTTCGTCGGAAGCTAATTTATATATACATATATATTATATTTATTGTTTATTATTATTAATTATTAGTACTATGAACATTATTACTATATAGCTTACGTTTTATATAATATATTATTACTATTTATATTAGTATTATTTACTACTGTTATGTGTTATTATATTATATTTACACACTATTTATTACATTATTATTATATGCTATTTATATTATTATATTTATATTATTAGTATTTTTGCGTCTATTATTAGTCATTATATTAGTTAATTGTCCTTATTCATCTTTTAGGTCCAAATAATACAAATGAAATCTAAATTTGAAGCCCAACTCCAGTAAGCTCGAACCATTTGGGGTTTAAGGAAACCCTAAGGAGACACACACCATTCTAGCGCCGCCTTCTTGCCAACTGGTTCCAGTTGCCGCTCGAGGTTGTCACGCACCATTGATCAACAATCAATTTTGGAAAAAAATATGAGAAGAAATCAGATTTTTCGGGGATTCAAATCCATTTCCGATTTAATGTAATAAAATCAGAGATTTCGAATCTTTTGATTGGAAAGTAAAAAGGAAGCTTTTTAGTGTATAAGATCGGGACAAATTCATGTGGGGGGGGGGTGGATGCGAAAAAATACAGTGGAAGAGTGGGGATTCGAATACAAAAAGGGAGCCATTGTAACTTCCATTTTGTGAAGTTTCCAACGAACCTTCGACGATCCTACAAAGGAAAAGAAGCGAGTGAGAGAAAAATAAAAACAAAGAAAATAAATTAGAGAGATTCACATTCTGTTTTCGACGTTTCCGGTGATCGGAGCGAACGATCCGACCGTTGAGAAGGCAGAGGGAAGCATGGTGAGCAACATACTCCGAAATCCGAACGATCTAACGGTAGACGACGGTGGATCAGAAAGCGGAAAGACGAACGGTTTCCGCCCATTTTACGGCAACCGGGACGTCTTCTGGAGAAACGGGTCCCAGCTTTGAGATCCCGGGATCGAGACGAGCTTCCCCGTGTACTTTGGGCTCTAACGGCCATCGTTGACGGCGACCAATCGACCGACAAAATCATCGGTTGTAAACGCCTGACTGTGTGGAAGGAAGAAGGAAGAAGGCAGAAGGCAGAAGGCAGAAGGCAGACGGAACTTAACTTTTAGGATAGAATGCAAATGAATGGAAAAACATCATTTTGGCTTCTGTACGCGTAAAAATTGAAATCAAACAAATCCCCACGTGAATTTAGACTTTGGGGTAAACTCTCCTCATGGTCCTTTATCTATTATGGGTAAAATCATTCCAAGGTCCCTTTGGTTTTGACATCCTTTACTTTAGTTTACTTATAATTTTATCTTAGTTTTGATACTTAGTTTTGATTTTTATTATTTTAGTCCCTTACTTATTTTTATTCATGACTTACAGATTACGTTCGTTTCATTTCATTCCTCCTTGACTCTATTATTTATTTTATTTTTTTTTCATTTACTTTTTTATTTGGTTTATTTTTATTTTTGTTTTAATATATTATTTATTTTATTTTTTAAGTTTCTTCAAATAGAAACACTAGTCTTTATTTTTTATTATTTAGTTTCATTTTGCCTATAATTCACTTAGTCTTTCTAATTCATTACACTTTTTTATTTTTAATTTATTTAGAGTTTAATTTATATGACCGTTTTAAACTAACTATTTTCTTTCGTTTTGTTTCATGTTTATGCTAATCAAAACTACACTTTTTATTTCTAATTTTATATATTTTTATTTATTTATTTATTAATTATTTATTTTTTCTTAACTTTTTTTTATAGAATCCAATTAAATCTCAAACGATTGTCAAGTGTAAATAATTTGGACCGAATTTATATTCTCTTTTAAATTTCTAATTTTTGCGATTAAGACAATCTGGTAATCGCATGGTATCGAAAGGGTAATTCGAGGGTTCTCATCCTTCCTCGATCATAAACGACTCCCGAATCCTACACATATCTAGTAAGACGCATACCCAGTAAATGGTAAGTAGGTGTCTGATATACCTAATTTAAAAGCGATCGGTGGCGACTCTATCATCACGATTCCAAGTTGAAGCGCGAATCGAGACCACCTGAAGGATCATTGCAATAGCTTGGCGCCTCCACGGGAGACACAAGAGAGTTAGGCCAAAAATCGATTACCCTACTGTTTTCTTAGGTGAAAATCGTAAGTTTAAATTTTAATTTATTTTCGATTCACTTTACTTACCTTTGATTATTTTTTTCAAATAAATAGTTGTATTGATGTTTTCTTTTAGTGTTTTTAGATTTTTCAAAAAAAAAAAATCATTCAAAGCTCTAAACCCGAGCTCTAAACCTTTTTAAGTGGGGGGTGAAAGTGAAACCTTCGTGAGAATTTATTCTCCGTGTCAGGCCTAACAATTAGATTTCGGGATTCATATGCCTTATCTCTTCATATGAATTTATTTATCGTGTCAGACGTAGGAAATGTCTCCCCTCGAGTTTAACTCGATTCATATAAGCATGTGATCGATTTAGGATCAAGGGTATGGCGAGCCCAAGGGGCACCAACAAGGGGCGCCAAGAGATTAGAGCCTACCTCTAAATCACATGCCAAAACCCTAAGATGTTGGTCGTTTATTTCCTGCTATTATTTTACTGTTCGAAGCATGCGAACCAGAAATATATACGGTTAGGATTATTTTATGCATGCGGGATATAAATCATGATCGGGTAGGAACAGAAGCATGTAGAGTAGATATCATACAAGTAGGAATGATTGTAATTTTGCTTTTAATATTAATTTAACTTACTAACTTTGTTTCTTTTTGTTTTCCTTAATTATTTATTTAATCTGCATCATTGAATCGAGGTATTGATCTACGAAGTGTTTGTCAGTTTTGAATAGTTTTCATTAATGGAAAAATAAGTTGTGATGCAAGAGGCTAAAAACGTAGTGGCACGATTGTGATATAAGAAGGCTCGAGAAAATGACAGACTGCAAGGCAGCTACATTAGATGATCACACTTCAACCCAACAGAATAACGTCAAGGAGCTGCAAAGCATATGGGGCAAACGAGAGGAAACATT